TTTGCGAGCAAATTACCTGCAATTTCTGCAGCCACATGGTTTCAAACCCGGAATGCTGACCACGTATTGCGATCGCCGTTACGGCAACTCTTCTCTATATTATAACGGTCACCGCCTATATCACCCTTAGGACTCTGGGAAAGGCTTTAAGACTATGCGCACATATTGGACGTCGCTTAACCTCTTTCCCGTCAATACTACCATCTTAGACATGCAGAATCAATACGTCTACACTCAGACGATGCCACCCCCCCCCTTTTGGAACTCGGTAAGGTAGATACCAAATGGAAATCGACAACGCTGGTGAGACTTATCACTATCTTTGCAAATTCCAGTCCGTTTGTCAACAGACACTACTCATCCCAACATCAGTAACACAATGCGACCATTCCAAATCAAACTGCTCTAACCATACCACATTAATCGCTCAGCTTAACCCTATGCAACCTGAACTATGCATTCAACTCCAGCAAGGAGGCCACCAATTGCTCTTCATGCGCATCTCCTTAGGTCCTTTAAATCTTAGATGTTGCAAGGAAACACTATACTTCACAAGAGAACACCATTATAAAAGTTCAATATCAAAACACGCATGTTCCTCACATGCGGCCCTCGCACGGCGTTAAATGGCGCTAAAATTACCTTCTGATTCTTTTAGTCGACGAATTACCCGACGCTAATAACTATGCAGGGATTAACATACTGCTCTGAGTCCTGTGGCGGTTTAGGCTGCTCTTGCGGCTATCCACCATCAGGATGTCTCTTTTATATATAGAATCTACCATGTTCCCGTAGACGACAACATTTACGAAGTCTTCCAATGCCCATCATGGTTCGAAACAATATCGTTTCATGTTCAACTTCACGGACCGAAACATAGAGCGCACACCTTTGAATTAAAACCCTATACCTCTTAAGAACAAATCGCTAACGTCTCATTTGAAATTACTTCGTTCACATTTACACCAATCTCACTACTCAACCAACGATTCTTCACAAACAATAACTCAACAGCCTCAAATCCCACAAGATACGGAATTCAGTTACGCATGCAGTTCAGATCCGCGTCATAACCAGAGTCCATGTTCACCCAACCGTTATAATTTCAAACGACACATGCAACTGCATCCAGCGGAATATTCCGTTAATTGCTATTGTACCAACAATAATGTCTCACGAATAACACAATTGCAGAATACGTTTCCCTTGCCAATACCAGAAGGACTAGTATCCACACAAGGCCGCAACAACATACCTACCATTACTACACGAGCAGTATCCGTACAAGCAATGATTACATTCGATCACACCATAAGAGAAACACGCAAGAAATCCAAAATTTCCATTGTCGCATACTGCCCCATCGACTACTTCGCGATGTTGTATGATGATGTAAAGGTTCGATAGGCAACTCTCTTCTGTGAGCCAGATTACAGTGATCGTCAATCTCTCAAATAAGCGCGGGACGTCACAAATTTACTGTTGATTGCCACAAAACAAGGAATCGTTGATCATTATTACTTTTAATCTTCAATAACGCCTCGCATTCAGGAAATATGCCTAGGCACAATGGCCTGGAAAACATAATAACGTATTTCGAGTTGCGAGGCACACTCAACTACCAAGTGAACGGATTCAAGCCATTTTGGCACTATGTCACTCATGGACAAGAAATACTTCCACCAATACCTCCTTCAATATCGAATTTGCATTCCCAGACATATCACATTTCCTCGATACCTGTAAGCGATTTTTCATTTATACCTCTGCTATGCTACTCGTCCTCATCAGTGCCCTCATGACGAGCAACAGCATCCTCTGTTCGCAGCACTCCACTACAAATCAGGAAAAAATAACCTCCATTCCTCAAATACTGTCATACATACCACCATTTCGTATTATATTAGGTCGTTGCAAAAGAAATGCAGGATTTCGTTTTTTTGTATTTAATACTTATTTTATTCCAATAAAATGTAAGTGTTATATATCATTCGAAAGCTTATCTAATGCTCTTTCTAAATGATACTTCAAGATTGGTTGTAATTCTTTTTAGAGGCCACAAAATCGTTGAAGGCGTTTTTGACATCGTCTTGGTTTTTGAAGCAATTTCTGTTTAGATAGTTGTCCAGATGCTTGCAAAGAAAGTGGATAATCGTTTGGTGTGGGGCGACAGGTGTGGTGAGTATGGTTTATGAGGCAGGGTTCCATAACCCAATTCGGTTTAACTCTGAACGAGGGTCGAGCACTTGTTCGAGCACACGTGTTTGGTCAGGGCATTGATCATGGTTGAGAAGAAGAGCGTATTTGACCAACCTTGGGCACATTGAAGCTTCTGATGCATTTCGTCGATTTGTTGACAGTACTTCTCTGCCGTAATTGTTTCACCAGGATTCAGGAAGCTGTGATGGATGAGACCGGCGGCAGACCACCAAACATGAGGTTCATCTTCAAGGCTGGTGTTGCCAGAACGAAACTTCTGGAACCAACGTTGGACCGTACATTCGTTGACACTTCCTTGACCCCAAACTTCGTTAATGTTTCGAGCTGTCTCGCAGTTTCGGCCTAGCTTGAACTCATAGAAAAAATAGTGCGAAATTCACGTTTTGACATCTGCAATAAAACGTCAATAAAAATGATAATGAAAAGAATTACAACCAATCTTGAAGTATCATTTAGAAAGAGCATTAGATAAGCTTTCGAATAATATATAACACTTCATATTAAACTAACATTTTATTGGAATAAAATAAGTATTAAATAGTCAAAAGACCAAAATCCTGCATTTCTTTTGCAACGACCTAATACTTCTTTTAATTCACATTATTCGACGCATCTTCTCCTTCACCATCTACATGCTACGCATACCGTTCCGTCTCCTGGGCAGAATCTTTCTACACTAACAATTCCATCACCCCGTTACCAACACACATCTCTACACATAAAGGCCGTCTCCACAAACAATTCTAATGTTCGCCTCACTTCGACACCATGTCTACAACACTCATCGACCGTTCAATAGCGTTCGTCAGCTCGTCATACCTCCAAAAGCGCAGCCTCCACACAAACAGTCGACTCCCCTGTAAAGATCAACTATCACGATATGTTTCTTCTATCATTTATTTGATTTCATGTGCATATCTAGGTAGAATGTATTCCTTGTATCCCTTTCAATTTTGTATTTTCATTCAAAGCAAAACTTTATTCCCTAGTCATGTACTACTCCTGTAGAACTGTGTTCCTATTTTCACTCCATGCATTGCTGAAACCTCTCAGCACCCCAACATTATTTTCCAAACCCATAGCCACGACCATACGGACAATAATCTCTTTTCCATTCGCTGGCGGGAAGGATGCCGAAGGCAAAAATACGTAAGACGTGTTCGTTGTTGTCGTGTGGAGTGTCGTGACCTCGATCATGATATCTTGGCACCGTTGATCGACTCATGCAGTCCGTCCTGAGGGCGGAGACTATCGTCACCGCCCACCGGACCGGTTAAGCTGAGCCCGCCATTCAAATTGATGTAGTTATGTGGTTTCAAATACTTATATCGAGGTAGCAAGTAACCTTTTAGTGAACACACAAACACAATAGGAAATTTATAGGAAAAGCCGTATGTAAAACCCGCCTCGCTTAATTGAGGTTGTACGTGCTCAAGGCGAAGAGAAGGTGCGATCGCACGAGTTCTCACTTGTTGATATCAGCTGTTTTCCCTTATCACCTCACTCTCACCACTCGACGTGGAGAGAAGCAGCAATGGAACAACCGCACCATCAGGCAACCATTAGAAATGAATGGTGGGCGGTGCCAATGATTGTAGGTTGGGTCAATGATAAGAACGACGGCATCGTGGCTCTCCTCACGCGTTTTTGCGCCGCGAAAGTGGTGTAGTTGTTGCCTCAGCGGACCTGACTACCTGCTCACGAAGGGAGAGGAAAATCTCAACTGAACGCGGACGCTGCCTTTAAGTGTACCGCCCCCTTTGGGCTCGATAAATACCGCTGCCAGAGAGGAGCTAGGCTCAGTTCTACACTTCGTCTTCCGCGAGCGGCGGGTCTTCTCTTAAGCTCTCTCTCCTCTCTGACACAATACTACTTACAGTTAACCTCGCATGTCGAGGATACACTACAGGCCGGCGGACCCGCGGCGAACGGCTAATCGATCAACACTACGGTAACAAGCAAGTCAACTACGCCACAGACGGCTCACATACTACGAGGTTCAGCACGCCTATGTTGTGTTCTCTTTACGATTACGTTTATGATATGTATGATGTAGTAATACTTGTGTAATAAAGATTAGAAGTTAGAACTGTTTGCCACATTCTTCCACTTTGAACCACCAAACCTCGTTGGACCGTGATGCAGTTCAAACAACCACCCACTGTGATCATAATCTTTTTTCGAGGATTCGGCTTTGGAAATTGCCTCGGTGGTTCGTCGGCATCCAACCACTGTCCGGAACGTCTCCTGTTATCATACATGATCCACTTTTCATCACAGGTGACAAATCGGTTCAAAAACGGGTCGTTTCTGTTGCGCAAAAGCAGTGAAGAAGAAACCTCGAGACGTGCCAATTTCTGCCGGTCACTCAAATTGTCGAGTTTTTTCACCTTCCCAATGCGTTTCAGACCATCCGCAACAGTGGATTTGCCAACGCCTAGCTTTTCTGCAATCTCTCGAACTGTTTGGGATGGGTCAGCCTCCACAAACGCCTTGTCGACCGCTACGAGGTTCATCTTCAAGGCTGAAATCTCCAGAACGAAATTTGTCGAACCATTGTCGCACGGTGCTTTCTCCAACACTATTGGGCCCCCACACCTGGTTAAGCTGTCTCGACTGCGGATTGACCCAATTTGTAGTTGAAGAAAAATATCGTCCGAAGTTGCTCTTTTGACATGCTTCAAAAGTCTTGGGAAAACGGTGTGTTGTCACCTCTACTGTTTCTGGCGTACACCTTTGATCTGCCCGCTTACCTCAATACTCATCCATTAGTGAGGAACCAAAATATATGCTGACGACATTAAGGTGTATGGTGTTTATAATAATGATAATTATGACTGCGTGCAACAAGCATTAACCCAATCCGTATGCAACATGATGGAGTGGGCTACTGCTTGGGGAATACCTATAAATTTCACGAAGACATCTGTACTTCATATAGGAGCAGCTAGAATTGTACCGTACATAATCGATGGTATTCCCCTTGGTACTTCAAGAGAAGTTCGTGACCTCGGTTTTCTTGTTAATTCTGATTTAGTAAGGCCTTCACTACTCTTTTCGCAATACTCAGAAATGTTCAAACAAATGATTCTCTAACTTTGAAGCTCTATAAAGCATATGTCATACCCATACTTGAATACGGCTCTCAGATTTGGAATCCTTACACCAAAAAACTTCAGGCAAAAGTTGAAAAAGTTCAACAAACGTTCACCAGAATTCTAATGTACCGATGTTATCCCAGCCCGTTATATCGTGGTTTACCTAGCTATAGAGAACGTTTACAGCTTTTCAACCTGAAGTCATTACTATATAGAAGGGTGTTTAATGACATTTTGTTCTGCTTCAAGTTACTCAAAGGAGAGTTAAGATTGAAGCCTAGTAAGTACTGGATATTCCGGCCAAGTAGGGGCCGTTCCTCCTCGCTATCCCTACAATGCCCGAAACTGAGCAATAGCCATCGATCTAAAATATTTAACTCACTTTTTCCGTGGAGCCAGATGGCTGCAGTCACTGCCACCAGTCCTACAAAAGGCGCCAAATATCAACGTGTTCAAAAAGAAATTGAAGGAAGTTGACCTACTCGCTTTACTAGGAATTGAGGATTTCTGAAATACTGAGGTGTGAAGAGTTTCCTGCTAATGTGTATTTGCCTAAATTTGTCGTTGTCTTTATTTTTATTCGCTTGGATGTTTTCGTTGTCCAACCAGTTTCGAGCACTTTGTAGCGCACCCTCGCGTGCATAGTAAATAAATAAATAAATAAAAAAAGGGTTTATCAAGCAATGGTGAAACGGCAATTATACCATCAGATAGCGCAAAAATTCTCTTCAGGATGTACTACTGAGACGCAAGGGAGAATGAGTTTTTAATCAGCAATGAATGTACAAAAAATAGTAACACAAAACGCTGACAACTTGTGAAAACTTTCCGGACAAAGTAATAATATAGCGAGTCGGTATTATTGCCACAGGGCAATCGCTGGAATTTGGAACATTCGATGCTTGAATCACGTTTGTATGTTGGAAGTGAATGAAAAGCAAATAGCTGCGCCACACAGAAGAAGCTCATTCTTTCGATACCGACTTCATAAAAAAAATAAAAGTTTCGAGAAATGTCATTTCGCAGTGGAATCGTTTGTTCAATCCGAAAAATTGCCAACGTGAGTAAAGCTTTGGTCATAGAGTCACG